TATATTGGGATGCAAAAAAAAGGCTGGTGTAGGGATCTACAGTTCCTGATATATTGATCTGTTACAGACCAATATATTGACTTATGTATCGATAGCATGGATGAAGGGCGTTCCATTCCTCAATATACTGGTCTGTTATCGCCCAATATATCGATCTGTTACAGACCAATATATTGACTTATGTATCGATAGCATGGATGAAGGGCGTTCCATTCCTCAATATACCGGTCTGTTATCGCCCAATATATCGACTCATGTATTGACAGCATGAAGGATGCTGTCTACATTGTACCCCGGGATGTCTGTATGCAGACATCCTGCTTTCTGTAATATATTGGTCTATTATTGCTCAATATATTGACTTGATATGAATATTAACTTTGTAAATTTATGGAGTATATGTGAGTGATTCTGGTGATTTTTGTACCGTTCGATTTAAGCTAATGGAAATGCATGGTTCTCCGTTAATACTAAATCGAACTTTTGGAAGCTTATGCCATTTTATTCCGGAGACTTTACTCTATATATACTGCTAAGATCTCTTTTCTGTCTTATTCCCTTAGTGTACAGTAAGCAAAACACTTTGTTTTTGGGTTCTTTTTCCCTTCTTTTCTTAGTGGTTCCTGCACGTTCTTTTTTCTTAATTAACATTTTTCTTCTCTTAAGGGGCAGCGGAACAAAATCTTTTTTGCTATTTGTGCAGTATTTTATCTGCTCTGTCAATCTGCAGTCTTAGTTTTGCCTAATCTTTTTTAGTTTCTGTGAAAACTTCGATGAAATTTCTGGTCCTCGAAAAGTTCAAAAATCGTGTCCCACCCCCTTTTGAGTCTACTGCGCAGCCAATAAGCACTTTAAGTCAAATATTTTTCCATAAAAAAATTTATCAAAGTAGGCACTATAGATTGTTGAAAACCGCAAGTTGTTAGCTTTTTTTGTTTTTGAGTAATTGACATTTTACTGACGTCCAGTGGCTTGTGACATATAATTTGTCCCACCCCCTTTTGACTCCTCCCTGACCGAACTACATGGAATTGAGAACTCGTTTTTTTAGCATATATGTCAAATGGGTAGCACAAGTTATGCTGTAAATAGCAAGGCTTCAGCTTATTTCTAAAGGAAGAAATTTGAAAAATACGTCAAAATGTCCCACCCCTAACTTTTGTCCCACCCCCAAACATATCTCTAGAATGATTTTGGCTAGCATATAAAGCCTCAAGTTATACGATTATACGTATTTTGACACCCTAAATCGAATGGCCGGCTCAGTTTTCTGAAAATCAGCTCAGCAAAGGATTTCCAGAAAACCTGGATTTCTGGAGACCCAAGCTTCGAAATTGTCAAAAACCATTTTTTAAGGATGCCAGTTGATAGAGCATATGTGAAAACCTATGTTTCAATACGTTTTTAAGCTCAATTATGCTTTTTTAGCTGAAAAGCAGAGAAAATCGCATTTTCGATCCTGAGTCAAAAAGTGAACAACCAGGATTTTGGCTGAGAAGGACTTGGTAGTTTGCAAACAGAGTTTTTTCTAGACTTTCAAGTACCCTCTATAAATCTACAGTGTCAAAATATTTTTCTGAACACTTTCATTTTGGGTCATTTTTTTCTTTAAAAACGGTACAAAAATCACCAGAATCACTCATGTGTTACATATATAGGTGCTGTGGCTGCAAAACAAAAAGATGAATAATCCGACCGTCGATATATCGAGTAATATATTGGGTATGGTATTGGGTTATCTAGGTATATTGACTACTGTATTGGGATTACCTAGATAGGATTGCCCCATACTCAATACTTTTTATTCGCTTGGGAGATGCATAGGTCGATATATTGGGATGTAACAGACCAATATATTGGGCGATAACAGACCAATATATTGAGGAATGGAACGCCCTTCATCCATGCTATCGATACATAAGTCAATATATTGGTCTGAAACAGACCGATATGTTGGGGTGTAACAGACCAATATATTGAGGGATGTAACGTCCTTCATCCATGCTATCGATACATAAGTCAATATATTGGGGTGTAACAGGCCAATATATTGAGAAACGTAGCTCCCATCCTTTATGCTGTCAATACACGACTGAATATATTGGGGTGTAACAGACCGATATATCGGGGACTGTAGCTCCCTACACCAGCCTTTTTTTGCATCCCAGTATATTGAGACGATATCGATACCATGCCCAATATATCCAGATAACTTCATAGTAGGATTGCCCAATATCACAACAAAATATCTAGATCTAACATCCAGATATATCCGGTAAAATATAGGGTTATCTAGGTATATTGACTACTGTATTGGGTTAGCTAGCTTGGATTGCCCAATACTCAATACTTTCTTTTTCTTGTATCTAGGTATATTGGGTATGGTATTGGGTTATCTAGGTATATTGACTACTGTATTGGGATTACCTAGATAGGATTGCCCAATACTCAATACTTTCTTTTTACTTGTATCTAGGTATATTGGGTATTGGATTGGGTTATCTAGGTAGGATTGCCCAATACTCGATACTTTTTATTCGCCTGGGAACTAGTGGTGTATCGCCCGATTACAGACGAAATGTATCTAGATTCTTTCCATAGGTGATATTTGCTTGGGTTGTATCTCCGCACATAGATAAGTATTGTACAGGACTGATGATAAAGACAACCATGTATTTTAATATGTCGATCAATATGTTTAGGGTTATAAATCATAAAAATGTAATTGTTTTTTATCTGTTGCAATAATAAGACATTGTTGTTGTTCGATTAGTACAGCATTACGTAAAACTTCTGGATATTTAATTGTTCTTTTCACTTGTCCATTTTTATCGATTTGTGTAATTAATTTTTTTAAATTATGCACAATTAACCACTCCTCCGTTTGAAGTGGTATAGGAAATCGTCGTCTATCATGATTATCTAATTGAATTGTCCAAATTACATCTGTTGTTTGCCTATTTCGCGGTTCAAAGTGCCAGTTACGACTTTGAGCTTGCACCGCTAGTCCGACATAATTGTTATTTGACGAAAATCTAATAACTGATATTAGTTCATCAGGTTTTATTTTCCATTGTTTGATTGTCTGCCATGTATTTCCCATTTTAAATTCATTCACGTGAACTCTCTATACTCGATAACTTATTAATAATGTTTGTTCATAACATGTGCAACTTCAAAAGTCCACATCATTTGATTCTAACGATGTTTGCTGAATTTGATTTGTTCGTTCATCATAGGTATAGATTTTAGTGAGCGCAAGTAGTACGAATCTATTTAGATATATTGACCAACACATATCAGTTATTTCATTATTGTTCCATTTTATTACAGTTTGACCATTATTTGTCTTCATTAACCAAAGCTTTTCGGTTGCTGCTTCATGTCGATAATGAAGAAAGGAACTGAATGAGGCACCAGACAAACTCCATTCCCCAATGGGAATATCAAGTACTAATCTTGGTTTTGCTGTAGTTAACTGACTAAAATCGAATGTATCTTTTAATGGCAATTTAGTTAGCTGCACATCTGCAATTTCTTCTATTTCGATCAATGATGTCCAATCAATTTTGTTACTTTTCGTTGTTGAGACAGTTATCGAAGCTAATGCATATGGGACTATAAGCTGATGAAATTGTTTTAATTGTTGTTTCCATCGTTGTAAATCGGTTTCAGCAAAGTTTTGTGTCAATTTTTTCGCTCGAATATCATTCGCCATTAACCGAAAATCTTCTTTTACTGTTTCATTGATTTTATTACAAAATTGAAAAACCTTTTGTCTTGCTACATCAGCAGCTTGTTTGACTTTCACGATCATCTCATGCTCCCATTGATCAGTTGCTTCCACAACGGGTTGTTCTGAAGACTGATTTGCTGACGACGATAGTGATGATTCGAATAGCTGTTCTAGTAATATATCGTGATCACAGATAATATGATCAAGTTCTATGGCAAGTTTTTGTCTATGTCCGGTGAAATGTTCATCGCAAAATGTTTGTTTACAACCTTTACATTCAATAACACTATCCAAACATGTTTTGCACTTCAGGGCTGGGCAACTCCAGCTCCGGAGTTGAGGAGTTTTTTGGTGGAGTTGGAGATGGAGTTGACCTTGGCGAAGTTGGAGTTGAGATTTTAGTGGGTCGGAGTTGGGTTTTTGAATTTTTATTCTCAACTCCGTTTTGCATTTTTGGAAATATTCAATAGTTGTAAATTTATCTTCTAAACGATTGAGTGGCTGTATTCACGAGTGAATTCGGAAGTTCTTTGCGCTTTCCTGCCGGAAAAAGCTCAAAAACGTGCAAAATCCTGCTAAAAACCGAAAAATCTTCCTTACAAAAGTGAAGCAACCGGGGTTGAACGGGAGTTGAGATTTTTGTTGAGAGAGTTGGAGCTGGAGTTGAAAAATTTTGAGCGGAGTTGGAGTTAGAGTTGGAGTTGGAAATTTGAAAACCGAGTTGGAGTTGGAGTAGAGATGGAGTTGAAAGTCAGCGGAGTTGCCCAGCCCTGTTGCACTTAATATTTGACGATGATGAAGCCATTTTTCTGTAACTGAAAATAAATTTCACAAGATTAGAACAGGGTACTTCAAAAATTTCTGGTCGAATTTTTGCTGACAAAATATAAAAGCATAATGGTTGATGGAACTGTTTTTGCGTTTTACAATGGATTTTTACACATGAATCAAATCATAACATATCGAGTTAATGAAAAAGTAAAAAGGAAAGAAATACGGCAGTACGTTTTTGATGTAGATGAAGACTTTGGCTTTTGAATATTGAATCTTGGTTAAAATAAACACACAAATGCTGAAGTTGGTTATTATTATACTATTAGTTCCTCAGAAATCATCAGCAATATTTCCATCTCTCATGCTTAAAATAATCGAGTCTTGCGTGAATTTTCGTTTTCTAAAATACGGCTAAATTAAGTTCTGAAAAACGGTTGCGATTTCTTCATGTCGAAAAAAAACCTTTCAGGTATTTTAAAATCCCAAAGCAATTCAAGATTTTTTAAATCACGACTTTTCCGTATTCTAAAAATTTCAAAAGGTTTTCCGGTAAAAGTAAAAAACGTTTAAACAGTCATGATGTGGTTCAAATGGTTATACCATTTTCCGTATTTTAAAATAGCTTCTTTTAGAGAGTAGGGCTAACTGTTCCAAAAAGAATTTTGCTGAGAAATGGGTTTTTTATTCTATTGAAATTAGACATCGAACATAACTTAGAAAAACCGATTTTGGGCTAATTTTTCAGGATTATTTTGGTTTCTTGGCCAACATTCCAAAAGCTTGCTATTTATTTTATGAAAAAAATTCATTTTTTAAAAGCTTTATATTCCTTTTGAGTTTCTGAAACCGGCTCAGTAAGACTTTGGATACTGTCTGAACCCATGAACATATTTTTTGCATTTTTCAGGTGAATCTAACCAGTAAGAAAAGAGAGAAGTGATTCCGTTATTTATTGTCAGAGGTGAAAGTCAGAGGAGTTTTGTATTTGTATAATAACATTTTGTATAAATTTTTTACACGTAGAGATTCGCAACCAGTAATCATTTGCTCGAGAAAAGCGAAAAGTTTGTTGAGGTTGATCGAAAGGAAATCGAGGATGACGATTGAACGCAATTTCGTAAGGTGTATAGTTGGTGGTTGCATGTTTGGTATTATTGTACGCATAAATTATATATTTCAAATAATGATCCCAGTTTTCGTGATTTGATGAACAATATTTTTATAGTTGTTGACAAAATGTAGCGTTAAACCTTTCTACTTGTCCATTTGTTTGTGGATGAGATGCAGCGGAGAAGATAAGCTTTGTTCCAATCATTTGGGTGAAAGCAGGGATGAGTTCATTTGGGAAGTGAGTTCCTTGATCTGTGATGACACAATCGGGAGCACCATGATGTAAGATGAAGTCTTCTACGGAAAATATCTTGAAAAAAACTGACTATAACTATTTTTTTCCTGGCGTATATAAATTATAAGGGGAAACGACTAACGAGGAACTGGTGTTTGGGTGGTAAGTTACTAATTTTGAACGGTCAGATACAACAAGACGATTCCATACACAGATAAAACACCCAAACAGACTTTATTACTATTACACGGTCATGGATCTCATGATAGTGTGCGTACATTTGAATTAACTATCGGAAATAATATTGTTTTATTATGTTTATCGCCAAATTCAACACACGTTCTTCAACCATTGATGCGACTTTTTTCAAACCGGTTAAAACTATCGTGAAACCCTTAATGAATATTGTCAAACATCCGGTTATGAGCAAGTATCAAAACGTGTATTTTCATCATTACTGTATAAATTATTTCAATCTTCACCTATTAGAAAAGTTAATATAATCACAGGTTTTATGACTACCGACATTTACCCATTAGACAAAACGTCCGTCAATCTACAAAAGATCTTAAGATGTAATGAACAAATTGAGCATGACGTTGCTGATCGCCGCTTGATTTCAGAAAACTATGTTTTCGAAGTTTTTTCAAAAAGAAATGTTACTAGAAGACTCAGCCTGCTCGATTATCTACAATCCATTTGTTACGTTTATGCAAAAAAGTGTTGGGATATGAAAATCTCTAAAAATCACCTCTGATGCATAGTGCAAGTAACGTTTCCACGTGGCTGATGACAATTGTAACGTCGGAAAAACAAATTATATTGGTGTTGGTTGATTTGACATAAAACTCTTTTCATAGGAATTCTTCTAACAGAATGAACAGTGACACTATTTTTTCTTCGTTTTACTCGCTTCCGACCTAAAAAAAAAGAAGTCCTGAATGACATTTTACAAGGCTCTAATTGTATGTTTTACTTTTCTTCTTTTCTTCATTCAACAAGCAAATAAACTCGTTCTATTATTTCCAGTTTTTATTTGCAGCAAAAAATAGGTAATTTGTGTGTGTATGTCCTTGGATACGCGTTAGTCCAAACTGTAAAAGGGGTGTGATTTTCCATGGACGTTGCTAATGGAAGGTTCAAGACTTCCACGAATCAATCTACAAAGTACCCAGTCAAAATCAACATATTGTTCTCGCACTGGAATAACATGCACATAAATACGCCGCTAACTTTGATCAGGTCCTCCGCAGAATTCGACTGTGGTAGTCTTGAGTTTTTCTTACATTCCTGAATAGGCAAGTTCAATTTATTTTATAAGCGAGGCCATCACAAAGAAAGTAAACGTTTAGTAACTTATAACATCTGGTAGGCAAAAGCCTTGTGAATCCAATTATAAGATTTCTTAATTTGGATAAAAAATTATGGAGTTATGTATAATAGATGTGAATGAGTAAATAAGTGTTAAATGAATAAAACCACAGAAAGCATAGATAGAGCTTTATTGTTATGAGTACTGTATAAAAGTATAGTTTTTGCAAAAACTCCAAGGCGCGTTCCGCTTACGATTCTTTTAACAGCAAAACAGCTAAGCGGGAAGATGGACAATTAATTAGGGCTATTTCGCTTCAATTTTTTATGTATATATATATATATATATATGTTATGACCAAACTTAGCATTCGGCCAGATTCCGAATTAGCAGCAACAATTTTTTTCTAACCGGAGTACGCATAGAAGAAAAAGTACGCACCGCTTTTTTCATTATTTCGCTTCGTCGTTGGAAAAAGGTAATTTTTATTAAATCAACAGTTCAAGAGGGGGTGGAAGCGCCTGACTGAATTTTGTTTGACCAAGAAATAAAGTGATTTTACATAAAATTTTTTTCATAGGGATTCTTCTAACAGAATGAACAGCGACGATAACTTTTCTTCGTTTTTCTAACGCTTCCTACCTAAAGAAAAAAGAAGTCCTGAATGACATTTTACATGAGTCTAATTGTATGTCTTACTTTTCTTCTTTTCTTCATTCAACAAGCAAATAAACTCGTTCTATTATTTCCAGTTTTTATTTTGCAGCAAAAAACAGGTAGTTTGTGTGTGATTTTATGTCCTTGGATACGCGTTAGTCCAAACTGTAAAAGGTGTGTGATTTTCCATGAAGGTTGCTAATGGCAGATATAAGATGAAACGAAATGCTAAACAAAATAAATTGACTTCAGTTGATGGCAGAAACTGTTACTCTATCCCGCCTCATGCAGCAGCAACAGAAAGATCCCTCCCCACCCCCATCGTATATTTGCCTCAATGGCTTGCTGGGAATATACTTCACTTTTCTTATTTCTCAAGCATTGCAGGTAGGAGTTTGACATTAACATTTGCAGGTATACGCTGATAATCTGTTTTTATTTCAAGCACATTTTGAAAAAACTGCAATTTTGAATTCTTAAGTCTAGCCGTTGCTAGGCGCCATACAATCGAGTAAATGTGTTTCCCGGCTTTTTTCTCATCTATCCTCCGAAACCTTAATAGAAGACAAATATTTCTTTATTTATTCACCAGGATATGGATCAACCGATCAGTTCATATCCTTCTCCAATACCGAAAACACAAGAGTCAAGTTCAAAATGGGAAACGATATGTCGAAAAGGGATTCTACTTTTTCGTAAAAAACGCATTATTATCTGGATCCTCATTTTAATTGGGGTGTCAATACCGGAACTTTACTATGGCTCAACCTACTTAAATCAGTGCCCCATTCAACCGAATATTCCAATTTATCTGATTGTGAACAGTTGCACGAAACTCAGCTGGGTATTTGTATGTATAGCTGCTATGCTTATATCATGGGTACTCTATAAATCGAAGCCAAAATTAGCTCTTAGACTAATGGGAATGATTCTTTTGTTTAAATGTTTAATTCTTGCGTTTTTTATTGCTTGGTTTATCGCTGGTAATGTTTGGATGTGGCCAGCAAAATCAATTGTCCAGTCAACGGATTCTACAAATCAACAAACCTATTGTAACGATTCACTCTTTAAAGGAATATTCAGAACAATCATAGTACATTACATAATCATACCTGTTCTTATTGTTCTTGTTTGTTGCAGAAAACGTTGTATGAACAATGAGCCCAGTTCATAATCGAGGATGTTGGAAACCAGAGACAAGAGTATCCGATGGCCTGAGCAACAGACCTCTTTAGTTAAATGTACTTTGTCTTTTCGAATTAATAAATAAACTGAAAATTACCATTACATAAACGACGTTCGCCGGTCTCTTTTAATAAATGGCGAAAGTCGCACGTCTCCATCTCTGTTCAGTCAAAAGCTATTCAGAATTGACGAACTTCACAACATTTTGAAACGGACAGCAGGAAAACCGTGAAAACACCCAATAACCCGATTTCCTCTCTGTGCCAAATTTTGCATGGCTCGAGCTTTATATCGAAATGTAGGCCACACTCGGTGTTTTGAGCTGAATGTGTGTAGCTTGACTGAATACTAGTACCAAGTATGTGAATGAGATCCAACTGTCACTGTATGGAGAATAAATTGAATGAACTAGGTATATCACTTATTTTGTCCAGGGGTGTGGTGCTAATTAGGCCCTACTAACAGCTTCACTAAACAACACCCAGTTCTGTTCTACCAGCAGCAACAATTATTATTAGTTTAATGATAAAGTTTGATACAAAAAGTTGTTTGTACATTGTTGATAGTACGAGTAACTGTCGATTAATTGATAAATAAAATAGATAATATTCTTCTTTGTTGATTCGAGAAGAATGTGGTGGAATCTAATCTATTGAGATGCTGATGTAAAGAAGGAGAAATGAAAATAAGTATTGCAAACGCAAATACTAAATTATAAAATATTAAATAAAAATTAAATATAAAATTTAATTTATATAAATTCTTTAAATAGAATATTAAAGCTCCTCCTTCCCTGTATATGAGAGAAGAAGAAGAAGATGTGAATTTGAATTTGAAAGTTGAGAAGAATGAGAGAGAGATGTTAACTAAAAGTTAACAAGAAGAGATCTGAATTTGAAGTTGAAAATTGACAAGAATGATAAAAGAATCGAAATTTGCTTTCGATTATGACTTGTTTTTCGTTTTGTTCCCCGGAAACGACTTGTATTATTTATTAATTTAATACATAATTTCTTTCTTCTATTATCTCTCTTACTAAAACCCGCGAAACTACGAAGTTTTAAGAATTTCTAGAAACTGTGATAAGATCAAGCATGGGGAATAATGTAATGGCGATAAGCCGTTACAAGGGGGATATATTCTTCGGTTTGTTCTTGAGAATAACATTCCCTCGGGAAATCAATTCGGTTTTCTTGCGTCGAATTCAACAATCGATGTTGTAACCAATATCATAGAAACTCCTTATGACGTACGAAATAAAACAGGACGTTACGTTGAACTAAGTTCGATATGGCTAAAGCATTTAATAGAATTCCGCATTATGTCATTCTCAACAAACTTAGAAGAATGGAAATTTCACGAGCTGTGTTAACTTGGTTTTCTTATTGACTTCCTAACTGGCTGCAGTCTGTTAAAATTCAAATATTTTTTCAGATTTAACTTCTATAACATCAGGCGTGTCTCAGGGTTCTGTCATTGATCCCCTTTTATTTCTCGTTTTCATCGGCGACTTACCAGATATATCATCAGTGTATTTTCTTTATAGTCTTTTCGCAGGCGACCTTTTTGTTCTCATACTTTTCAATCGTTCTGACAGTGAGCAGTTTATCGAGATAACAGTACGGGATAAAACTGATAAAATTGTCATTCATGTTATACGAACAGTATGTTTCCAAATGTAAACAAGCGGTCATATAAGGTTAAGGAAATTCAAAAGTGGAGCACTTTTTATTTTTACGATATTTATACATAGCTGGATAGAGCTCGACGAGCTGAATCCGAATATGTGTATTTTAACCTTTCAAATCAAAATTTT